GGTCTACGTGATTTCATGAGCATCCAGCAGCTCTCCCCCAAGACTGGACATGTGCTTAGGAAACCAATTATTGGAGAGACTCCCAACAGACTGCAGCAGCAACGTGGGCGATCAGCAGTAGAGGTAGCTGCCAGCTGATGGGCAGGATTCGTAAGACGCTGTCTTATTCTCTGTTGTCACTCCAAGCCTCGTGGGCAGCAGGCAATGTGTCTTTGGAACTCCCTTTGCTTAAAGCATGTAGCAGGGCTAATTTAATTAAATGTGATCAAATGTGGGTTTGCTGGGATTGCATAGAATTGCTGGGTTAACTTAGCACTGGCTGTGATTGTAGATGATCATGCGTCTGAGGTAGTACAGGTCCCCACCTCGCTTCATTTAGGCTGGGATGGTATCATCTCCTGGTGTAACAGGTACATTACTGTGCAAGGCTAGAAAAATAAAAGCAGATTATTCTGTATGCAGAGACTGTTGAGGGAGATGGACAAGGCTGGAAAGACAAAAATCCAGAAAGGATCATTGCTTATAAGTTGGTTAAGAGAATAAATTCCAGGAGGATTGAAAGTTACAGAAGTTTTGAGACAGAGGTGGAACAAAGACAGAGGGAATAGACTGGCAATAAATAAATTAAGGCTGAAAATGAGAATGTTTCTGACCATACAAAGGTGTGCTGAGAGCATAAAGGTGACGGTGGGAACTGTCTCTGTCAGTGTGGCACTTGTGTGGTGGAAGAGTGATGGCCTTGCAGTACAGCTTCTTGTGATCCCGTCTGTAACAGGCTGAGCATGAGCATCCAAAGGAAAGAGCAAACATCAACTTTAGCTGTTCTGCTAAGTCAGAGCTTACGACAGTATTTGTATTTATATTAGAGATGATGGGTCACAGTGAGGTTATCTGAACTTAACATGGCTTTGGACTACGCACAGCATCTCTCCTTTTCTGCTTGACAATTCTAATTTCAGTCCTTAAGCCAGCCTTAGCCTCCCCTTATTGCATCTCTAAAAGCAGCTGGTTGCCTGATGCCTTTGAACATTTGTTGCTAAGTCTTGTTTGGTAAGAAGGAAGTTGGGAGGTGGGTAACCTTGGCTGTGAGTGACATCTCCTGGCGTGCAGAGCTGCAGGTGACTTAGCGTGATGTTGGCTGGAGGAGCAGTTTCCTATTTGTCTTGAGGCTGTGGAAGACACTGGGGACAATCCTGCTTCCTTGCCTTCACACAGAGCTACCTCCTATGCTGGTGTGGTCCTTCCTGGGTCATTCACCGAGAGCAACAGGGTTTCTGCAGCAAAACTGCTGTTAGCTGGAGTGGCTGCCAACATCATTCTCAGTTGATAGCTAACTCAGAGACAGAAAGGATATTAGATCTGTTTATGTTCTGGGACCTGCACCAATCACTGGATGGAACCAATGGTAGCCCCTACAAAAAAACAAAGAGACCAAAATTAGAAACAGACAGAGATGCCTGAGCAACTGGGCTGTGCTCCAACATCTGGAGAGTGCTTAATGCCTGCGCAGCCAGGCAGGGCTCCAGCACCAGCCGGCTCTGAGCTTTAGGGTGGGGAAGAAGAAAAGCAGTGTCATTTCTATGCCTACTTATGGCCTTACATGATGTTTTTATCACCACTTACAGCGGGCAGTATGGGAGAAAGAGTAGAGATCTGTCTCTATTTTGGTTCTGGCTGGGCACAGAGACAGAAGATCATGCCTGCTTAATCTTTAGCTGAGGAAAACTGCTAGTGGAAGAATAGTCCTGGGGTCTGGCCATCAGAGGTGCTGGCGGGTCAGGTGCTGCCCCACCTGGTGGAGACTGAGGAGTGTTTGCACGGCATTCAGCGACGTGAACGTGGGGTGCAAATGAGCTGGAGAAGTCTAGGGAATAAGTTAATCCTTTAGCCACTGCGGAACCTGCAGTTATGCCTAGACCTGATGGAGGTAACAGTGAAGTGTGCAGAAAAGGGAACTTGTTCAAGTACCTCACCTTTCTAAGCAAATGGCAGGTGAGTTTTATTTTAATTACATTGAATTCTTTATCTGGATTTGCAATGATGTGGTTTGGTTTTGTTTTTTTTTTAAAATAAGTATTCAAGTCTGTACATTTTGAGTGCTGTTTGGATGGTTATTGCTTTGCTAGGCTACTTTCTCAATTATGCTTATCATTTTGTACCTTTTCTTGTCTGAAACATTCCAACAAAATGCTGCTTGATAGCATTAGAGTTCACACAGATGGATGCTCTGGTATGGGATACAGCAATGAAATCGCATATCTACAACTCTCAAAGTCCTGAAAAGTGCTCATGATACTGAGTTAAAATTCAGGCAAAAGTCATGTTCAGGGTTAAGGAAATAATGTGCTTTGGAAAAAAATGACTAATCTCAGGTTGCAGGTGGGATGCAGACAATGATCGTTATGCTTCTGCCTACAGACAAGGGATTTCTACAGCTGTTTATTGGGATGGTCCATTACAGTGAGAAAATTGTTCTTGCTTTGCTGCTACTTGCAGAGTGTGGCTGCTGAAAATACAGAGCACACAGACAATACCCATCACAACGGCAAGTTTGAAAATCTTAGAAATGATGCAAAGTCACCCATCCTTCGTTCCTATGACAGTAAACACCCAACAAAGCCGTTAGTGGCTGCCTCTAGGCAAGATCTCAGAGCAAGGGTGGCAATAATTACATGGATGTGCTGTGCAACTGTCAGCAGCAGTTTCAGTTTTCAAGCATGCTATCTTTGTATCTATACTGTACAGCTAATTTTACATTATAGCATCTGGTTTTATTCATTTTTCTAGTGTTAAAATAATTTTTGTTCAACAGACATGATCAGTGCTATCACAACCTGAGCCAACTACCCTCTCCAATAAGAAGAAAAGTCTCCCAGCTGTCATGCTCTGCTGTTTCTAATCACTTCAAGCCATGAGTTCTGGGGCCTTTTTGAATAAAGCTGTATAAAATTCATTCTTACTTCTTGCTGTCTGGTATGCGCACTAGACTATTTTTTTAAGCTGCATTCTTGGAGATATTGGCAAGCATGCTGTGCCTCTAACAGGCACTCACAAAATGCAAGCATAACAAGCTTCCAAATTTCACAGTTAGCCTCAGCAGATTTACACATGAGCACGATGAGAGGGAGCACAGAGCTCCAGGTCAGCATTAGGTTTCCAATGGAACTGCCTGCAGGGAGATCTTCCAAACCAGTTCTCTTGGCACTTCTAGATTCTGTTTTCTCTAGGTAGGTGGGAACACATTATTGGTCTACAGTTAGAGATTTCCAGAGGTGCGTTGCTTCTTTTTACTTGGGCTAACTTCTGAAAATAACTCTAGGATTTGGAGTCATTTGTAAGGTTGGGTAACACTTTGTGTAGTTCTGGCGCCTGGGACCACCTTTCATGTGAAACCAGAGTGGTTCAATGACCCTGTTCAGAACTTGAATGCTTTTTGTATTTGTATGCATGACGTGGGGTGCCAGGATGGATTTGGAGCATTGACCCAGTGTCACCTGAGGTCACTCACCCTGAGTGTCACTCCTGTTCTGGCATGCAGATGCAGAGCAGGTTCAGTCACCTTACCTTCTTGGAGCATTAAGGTAGTTGATGTGGTTGCCTGCACAGAGATATTGTCACCCTGGATGACCCATAATGTACTTCTAAACATCTCCTGGAGTATTTGTGTACAAGGAGAAGAGAAATTAGTACCCATGTGAGCAGTCAGACAATCAGTGCTTTTGAGTATGGAGCATCAGTGTGGGTAGAAATGGATTTCTTGTTGTAGTGGGAGCAGGTATGTCCCCTAGAGTGCTGAAGCTATTTGTTAGTTGTCAGCATTGAATTTACAGCTAGATTATAAATCTGGAAAATGCTTTTGCTGATACCCTTTCTAGAGCTTCATGTTGTAAGATGGTATTTTCTTAAACAATACCAAAACTGTCTGAGCCTAAGTTGTGAAGTGAGATTTCCAGCATGGGATATATGAAGGAGAATCCAAAGCAGGAAAATATAAAAGACAGCATCATGCTAGCCACCAACAAATGCAGATGTATGTATATTGGTTCTGAAAACTCAAATGCCATATTGGTTGTGAATGATTTCCGTCAGCCATACGTGGGGTTTTTTTTTACAGAATTCTACTGCTAACCATGTATTTTAAGTTACAAAAAATCTTAATTTGTTAGATAGGTCATACCAAATATATCAGTAACAGTAAAGGAATCAGACTGGTACAAATTTTGCAAAAAGTGTGTGATTTTTAACCATATGCCAATTCTGCAAATACAGGCTATTCATAATTTATCAGTCTTATGAGAAGTGGCATCAAAAATCTCCACAGATTTCTTAAACACCCTGTGGAGTGCAGATCAAATTTTCTATACAGCATTGCTGAGGTGCAGGACAGCATTGCTTGAACTGACTGCCACATACTGAAATGCTAGTGTTAGACTTCCTAAATGCATTACTAGTGATGAGGATGTTGGAAATTGTTATAAATGTTGTAAACAAACTGAAGCACAAAGTATACTAGGACAAAATGTCACAGGGGTTAAAGCTTTGGGTTCCACAAGGTTACACTGTTTATATATTAGCAGTCTGCTCTTTCAGCTTCTCAGGGATTATTAAGCCACATGCAGAGCTATAGAAGTTGGTGTTTGCCCCATACCGATGCTTTTGCTATACGCTTGCTCAGCCACCTGCAGGTATCTCAAGGACAGGCTAACCATAAGCTGCATCTTGAAGTCCTCCTTCGTCACCACTTGGCACAGGGCAGCCCATGGAGATGTGGCACGGCCCATGACAGCAGATCTGCAGGACACCATTGCTGAGCTCTGCCTCTAAGAAATCCTGCACGAGGACATGGGGCAGGAGATGGTAGCAGGGATGGGCAAAGGCAGATGCTTCATAGTGGAAAGGGACTGCAGGAACATGCCTGAAGACCTTTAGGGTGTGAGGTAAGCTGGGCTGCTGGATACTAACATCCTTTTTCTGCTCTAGTCACAGGTACCAAACCAAAGATGTCCTGGACAAGAAAGATTCTACTCATCCTGGGATTCCTCTCTACTTTGGCTGTAATTGCTTTAATTGCTGTAGCAGTGACCCAAAACAAGCCACTTCCGAAGAATATTAAGGTATTATGAGCTGGGACTCTTTCAGGAAAACAAGCCAAGCTAGGGGGTTAGGCATGCATAGTGCTCTAGGACAAGTCGCTGCCCTTGCTGGGTCCGAGTAACCTCTCTTTCTGGCTCCATGCACCTCAACATCTCATTTTACATCTTCGCGGTAAAAACAGATATGGCTTCACGGGGGATCATCTCCTAAGTAATCAGTCCCAATTTTGCTGCTTCTCTGCTCTTGTATTCTTTAATGGAAACTTTGCACTGAAGCACTACTGAGTAACGACACAGCATGTCCCCACAGCTGCCAGATAGGCTGTTCATTTCTGGTCCCCTCGCGTGTGGAGACCAGCGCACGCTGGTTCGGTGCCTCAGGTGCAATGACGGCTCTGTTTTGCCCACAGTATGGGATTGTGCTGGATGCGGGGTCATCCCACACTAACCTGTACGTGTACGAGTGGCCAGCAGAGAAGGAGAACGACACTGGGGTGGTGCAGCAGGTGGAGGTGTGTAAAGTCGAAGGTAAGAGGAGAAAAGGGAGCTGTGGAAGGGGCACAGGATGAAGAAGAGATAATGCGACCAAAGGGTGGGGGAGGAGAAACCTGGAGGAAGAGGCCAATAATAAAAACAGTGATACATCTGTGAGCTAATGTATATCCCACCACCCCCCACGGGGAGCTGTATGTGCCTGACCTTCCTGGGAGGAAAGCTGGATCCACTTCTTCCTTTGTTTTTAGGATGCTTGGAAGTAAGTGCTTTTTGGAAAGAACTACACCAAAGAATGTACTTAAATAAAACATCTGCATGCACGCTTGCTGAAGGGAGGAGAGGTGCTGTCAGAGCCTGCCTGGGGTCTTTTCAGGCCTGTCTGCAGCGCAGGGGAGAGACACGCTGTTATCGAGCTGCTGCAATAGCTGCTCGGCGCTGCAGCATGCCATACCACGAGCAGCGTGCTGAGCATACGGCAACCTGGAGCAAACACAGAGCGGGCTTCACTGCTGCCCATGCAGGCACTGGTCCTGGGGCAGTCCATTCACCAGGGGACACACGGCAGGAAGGGACAATGAATTTTTCTTTGGGTTAGCATGAAAGGGGATAGCTGCAAAATGCTCAGTGCTGTAGTGTGAGCATACAATACACAAACAAATGACAGCATCTTCCCCTGGAGGACCCAGCGTAGTGAAAGGTCAGGGATTTTTAGGTGCAGATCTGGGGTACACCCAGGCAGAAGCAGAGATGAGTCTGCAGATGTCCTGGACATACTAAGCAAATGATCTGTCTCACTGCGGCCCTCATCGCCAGTTCATAGCCTGCTTTGCGGAGAGTGGGTGGCAGATGCTGGGCACTGTGGTCGTCCCCGCGTGCATCAGGCTTAGTTGGTACTGTAGGATTTCTAAAACTCTTTAGAAATGAGGTGGTTGAATCTGATGTTCCTGCCTGTGATAGTGATATGGTTTAACACGACTTCTCATGACAGCACTCTGGGGTTATGCTTGGAGTTTGAGCAATGAAGTATCCTTATTTCTTGCAGGCCCTGGGATCTCAGGTTACTCCCATGCCACAGAGAAGGCAGGTCCTTCTCTGGCAGAGTGCCTACGACAAGCAGAAGAGGTGATTCCCTCAAAGCAGCACCAAGAGACACCCGTCTACCTCGGAGCAACTGCCGGCATGCGGCTTCTCAGGTACTTCAGGGCTTGTCCCCTTCTCCTGCAGCACTGTGCCATGGATGCTCAGTGGGGACCTCTTGGGCAAAGTCCCTGGAAATGCTGCCAGCTCACACTTTGCCCAGATACCCCCTTCTGCCGCTGGCCTCTCTGAGCCCCGAGTCTCCCTGGGCTATTCCCGTACTTGCCCAGCAGGTCTACTTCCACTCACTCCAACCTTCCATCATCTCCAGCACCCACATGCAGCACAGAGACACCAGGAGGGTAGCAGTGCCCAAGCCGATGCTCAGGGGATGCTCAGACACCCCTCGCAGTCTGGTATTAGGCCTGGCCCAGGATTTTTGAGCCCAACCATGTTGCGGCTCCCCACATACCTTGACTTAGTCTGAGACCATCAGAGCTAAGGTAACTTTATAATCATATCCTCCTTTAATTCCAATTTGTGATTTTCACGGGGTGCTCCAGACCTCTTGCCTGGCTGGGACAGGGAGCTGATCTTATGTATGTATTCCCTGGGAAATCTCCCTGGTGATATCAGAGGGCATGGATTTCTTCTGTAATGGTGATGGCAAAGAGTGAGAGGAATCTCCACAATGCAGTCCCTACCAGGGCACGTGCTCCAGGACAACAAGAGAGCTCTGGTCTCTGCTCCAGGTACACCTCTCAGCTGCGGGATCTGTAAGTGTCAGAGCTGGTGGCAGCTGTGCTGTCAATGTGTGACAGAGAGGGACGTGGCCAGTTAGAGCTGGATGTACCCATGTGAATGACTGTTCTGTTAGAATTAACATCTGGTGGGGAGTTCCAGCCTGCCTACTCAGAAAAGCCCATAGGCTGCAGAGAGCTGTCAGCCAGAGTCACTCCATCCTTTCTTCCATTCATCCAGCTTGGAGAATAAAAGTGCAGCTGACAAAGTCTTGTCCTCAGTAGAGAAGACGCTACGCTCAGCTCCCTTCAACTTCCAGGGTGCCAGAATCATCAGTGGTCAGGAAGAAGGAGCCTATGGATGGATCACCATTAACTACCTGCTGGGCAATTTCAAGCAGGTACTGTATCAACAGCAAGTCTGTATTTGAATCATGGGCTTACAGCACTTTGTAAATCATGCCTTGCAGGAGGGTGTCACAGGCACTATCTTCCCTTGTAAGCCATTTACCAGAGATCAGGAAGCTGCACATCTTGCCTCAGGAATTACTGTGAGTACATCCTGATGCCAATAAGTATCAGGATGTACCACTGTAGTCAGGCTTAAAGCATTGAAATAAAGCACTAACATCTTTGATAACTTCACTTGGGTACAGCATCCTCCTCACTTTCTGATCTAAAATGTTTCTGTGACTGCAAAGTTTGACAATGATTCTTTACTATTGAGCGTATAAATCACCTGGAGGCTGAAACAGTAAGTTGACTGTTTTTTCTTATAATAATTGTGTTAGATTTCATATTCCTAGTCCTCCGGCAAACACTCAGACATGATCCCTCTTCTGCTTTTCCAAGCCTGCATCTTTCATGTGTCTTATTCCAGCTCTTATCTCATGCCCCCCTCCAGGTCTTCCTGCCTTTCCCGTGTTCTGTGCTTCTGCTTCTCTTCTCCTCATATGTCTTTCTCTTTTTTTTTTTTTTTTTTGCTCCCAAATATATTTTCTCCATGCCTGATGTACCTGTTTTACTTTGAATTTTTGTTTTAAAGTCTGGCTGGACAAAACTTCTACATTCCCTGAAATCCATAAGTGAGACATCAGGAGCGCTAGACCTCGGAGGAGCCTCAACACAGATTACCTTTGTACCAAATCAACTCTCTTCTGAGTCCCCAGAGAATCTGCTCTACTTTCGTCTCTATGGCAAGGATTACCTAGTGTACACGCACAGCTTTCTCTGCTATGGGAAGGACCAGGCTCTGCAACAGAAACTGGCCAGGGACCTACAGGCAAGTACATCTGTAATTGCAGGTGGAGGTCCTGGATCCTCCCAGCTTTGACGTACTGGTGCAGTAGAAGTTGCTGTGTCCCAGCTAAATGTCTCATCCCTTAGTCTGGGTTTGGGAAATGCCATTATCCTTCATAAAGACTGGGAAGATGCCCAAAGAGATGACAGTCAACATGTTCAAAAGTACTACCAATTTTGATATGCCTTGATTCTTGGGCATGAGATAGCAGGAGTACTGTGCTTAACTGAAGTACTCAGGGGAGGTGATGTTTCACCACCTCTGAGAATCCCAAATCAACAGCAGCTTCACAAAATGTGCCTGAAAGTAATTTGCCCAGAGTCCTTCAGGGAGGCTGTGGCAGTATCCACATCTCCCAAATCACAGCCAGTGCCTTAAACCATCCTCATCACTTTGACCCGATGCGTGTATCTTGGTGTGATGTACTGTGACAAGTGCCTTGTGGCCACCCTTCCTTGTGGCTCTTTCCCCGGGTGTTACTCTAGAGTGAAGTGTAACTTGGGTTGATTTTACTTTCAGACTGTGGAGAGCAGCAGCCTCCTTGATCCGTGCTTTCACCAGGGGTATCAGAGGACTATAAATATAAGTGACCTCTTCAAAAACCCTTGTACATCAGCTGAGAAAAAGCAATTCCCTTTCAGCCAGCTGTACGTACAGGGAGAGGGAGATTATCAAAAGTGCCGAAGAAACATCCAGAAACTCTTTAACAAAACCAATTGTCCTTACTCCAGTTGCTCCTTCAATGGGATATACCTACCTCCATTACAAGGGGATTTTGGGGTAAGTCTTCACATTCTTCAACTCTCTATAACCCGGAACATCAGAAGAGCAGAAACTCAGAGTAATACTAGAGTGTATTTTCCATGACTGGGGCAAGAAATCATTTACAAGATGGCTTTTTGCACATGTAACTACAAAAGTAGTGCTGCACTTGCTGTGAGGACAACATGTGTAAGAGCTACCCCAGTAAATACTGACCTACCAGTACTGCGCTGTTCCCATTCTAACCCATCTCCTATAGGCATCTCCTTGGGGTGCCCCATTTATTAATTCATTTTTCAAGCAGTCCTTCCTGATGGCCAGCACCAGAGGCAGGAGAGCCTGCTGCAGGCCGTGCATGATACACTGGTCCTGCAAACCTTGTCTCCTGAGGTTAATGGTGGTACCAGATCTGAAATTCATCCAGAAATGTGTAAGCGCTACTGAAACCAATCAGTCGGCTCACCTGTCTGCCTGCCAGACGTGATGAGCAGACAGTGCATGCTCTGAACAGACGTCACGTGTGACACCACACTGAACATCAGTCCTAGAGCTGCAAGACTTCAGCGGCTGTGAGGCTTTCTGGGGGAACTGTTAATATTCCCTTGCCCTCTTCATAAACTGCCCCCTACCTATCAGCTGTTGGTCATGGTCAGAGATGGGTTTTCTGAACTTTGGATTATATACTGGGGCTGTGTACAGTCCTTTCAGACCATCACCTCTGCTGTTTGTGGCGATATTGGCTGCACGCTCATCTCATTCAGTTGCCAAAATGGGATCACGGTTATGATGGCAAGCAGCGTTCACCATGTGCCACTCTGGCACCAGTGCATAGAGGGAAGGGATTTACTGAAGTTCTTGAGGATACTGTGGTCAGTGAAGTTCCTACCTCCACCTGCCTTTTGGGGTCCTTACCTCCAATCAGCTCTGAGAGGTGTGTCTCAAAATGACATCGCTCTTGAAAATATACCTACTTTTGTGTGTGTGATGTTGCTTCGTATATTCCTCTATCTGCAAATAAAACCATTTTCTTCTGTGGGATTTCTTCTGTCCTGCTCATGCTGAGGCCCAGTCCAGTTAAAATATTCTTTCTCCTTCAGGCTTTTTCTGCTTTCTACTTTGTGATGAACTTTTTGAACCTGACCAGTGAACAAAGCCCCGTTGCCCTGGACAAAGTGGCCAGCGCCATCGAGAGCTTCTGCGCCCGGCCTTGGCATGAGGTGAGCAGTGCTTGTGGCAGTGGGCTGGGGCTGCCGGGTGGCAAGAGCTGCTGATATTTTTCTGTAGGACAAATGGTTGGGGGTAACTTCCAAGGCAAGAGGAGGAAGATCCCCCCAGCACCTGCAGTGGATGCTCAGGCACAAGCTGGAGCTATGGGAAGCCGTGTTTAACAGCCTGGTGACTTCCTCCTTCCCTAGGTGAAGACAGCGTATCACCAAATAAAAGAAAAGTACCTGAGCGAATATTGCTTCTCTGGAGCCTACATCCTCTCTCTCCTGGAAAATGGCTACGAATTCACTGAAAAGAACTGGCAAAGGATCCACTTCCTTGGAAAGGTGTGTTTCATGGCAGGCAGGGCTCTACCCCAGCAGCTAACTGCAACCTCTGCTGCACAGCCCGGCCCTTTTTCCCCAGAGGTGCCACGGCCCCAGCAATGCCACAAGCAGCCCCTGCACCTCCCAGCACTGATTCTGCTCCTCTCCCATTTCAGATCGGCAGCAGCGATGCGGGCTGGACCCTGGGCTACATGCTGAACCTGACCAACATGATCCCCGCAGAGGAGCCTGCTGTGCCCCCTCTTTCCCACGGCAGCTACGTGGGGCTGATGGTGCTGTGCTCCCTCGTGCTGGTGTTAGTGCTCCTGTTTGCCTGGCTTCTCTTCCACAAGCCCAAGTGCCTGCAGAAGGGAATTGTTTAGGAAAAGCCTTGGGGTGAGAGGGGCCACGTCACCCTGGCCACTCAGGGCTAAGAGACCCCAGCAGAGCAGGCTGTACTGCAGAGCCCCTCTTGCCTCTCACTGAAGCTACTGACTGTGTACAACAAGGGCATTTATTCCTTCTGACTCACACTTGCACTGACAGATGGTGGGACATCAGGCTCGCCACCTCTCTCTACCAAGGACAGACAAGCAGGTGTCCCCTCCTTGAATGGGTCGTACTTTCATTCAATGAAACTTTGCTGCTTGTTGTTTTTTGCCTTGTGCACAGCATTATAAAGAGAAAAATGGCAGCAATCTTTGGGAGCCGGTGCTCCTGCAAGGGTAATCTCAGGGTCACATATCCCACTGAGCTCTTGGGAGCAATCACACACAGGGTGATCCTGCTCCTCCTCTGCTGAAGCCGTTCCCGAGAGCCCTTCCCGCACCAGCACACCTCCACTCGCCTCCCCGCGCCCTGAGCCCTCGCAGCCCTACAGCCGCGTACGGCCACCTGCATCTGGCTGGCCCCTGAAGGCTGGCCAGGCTCCCAAATGCCACTCTGGGAAAAGAAGGGATGAGGATGAAGAAACTGAATGTGCTGGTGGTCATCAGCCCTTAGCTGGGCTCCGGTGGCTGTCTGCTCCTTTCGCAGGTGGCAAGAAGCCTCTTTCCCACGTCTTCCTGATGTTGTTGCTGGACCAAAGCTGGCTCACTGTTACACTGAGCCATTCCCATGTCCCTAGGGTACATCAAGACATGAGTTCCCAGCCAAGCATTGCTGATTTTTGTAGGAACAGCTCATACTGGCCGAGGATCCTTGACCAGTAGCAAGTGCTTATGCCTACAGGGACTCTGGTGTGATCAGTGTGCCTACAGGTATACACCCACTAAAGCAATCCAGTGTCACTGTGCTGATCATACAACAGCCTCTGATCTAGGGAAAATGTTTATTAGGTCATGTTCCTTTATAAATAGACAGCTGGCAGCAGTTAACCAGCATAAGCATGCACAAATTGAACCACTCT